GGGGGCAGGGGGCCACGTGCTCTCTGCAGATGGGGGTGATCAGAAACCTGAAACGGCGTTGGGGTGAGGGGGTCGGGGTTTGGTAGGAACCCCAAAACTTTTGACTGCCTGTGGGGCTGCGTGGGGGGCACCAGGATCAGGGTGAGGGCATCCCTTTGGCAAAGCTGTGGTCCACACGGGAGAAGCTGGAGGCCGGAGCCTGGGCAGGTGCTGCGGGTTCGGGCGGGAGATGCTTGAGGGTTGGGATCAAGCCCGGTTGGAGCGTGGACGAGGAAAAGAGACAGGGGTGGGGGCAACTCCGGTGAGTGATGCGGTTGGGGGCTGGGGGGCATCTAGGCCCGCCGGAATGCCCCTGGTTGGACTTGGAAGCTGGGAGCGGATTGAAGCCCCAGGGTGGCCGGGGAGAACAGGACGCTGACGGGAAGCTGGAAGCCGAGGACAGGAGGATGGTGTGGTGGGAGCCAGGGCAGGGACTGGAGGGGGTGTGGTGTGTTCTGCAGTTTGCTCTCTGCTGCTGCAGCTGCCTGAGTCACCTCTGGATGTAGCGGAATGACACAGCTTCCTCAGACTGCAAATGCAAGGTGACCAGACGTCCTCCAAGCCAGGCGGACAGTCGTGGCTTGCTGGAGGGCAGCCAGCCAGGGCCAGGCTGCCGGCTGGTGCGGGCCGGGCTGGGGGGTGCCAAGTGGGGTGCCTCCCGCATTTCCCATGTCCAGGACAGCCGGACAGTGGGGGTCCTCATCCTCAGTAGGAAGGGTGTCTGGCTGGTCTCTGGGACCAGCCGGGCTGCAGTTAGTCGGTTGACACCTGTTTGACAGGTGCCCACTGGGTACCAGTGCCACAGTGGCCCCACCTACCCTTGTGGCCCCCTGTGGAGGGTGCCTGGCTTGGGGTCTCTGGCAGAAAGGCTCCTGGGAGAGGCAGGTACACCCTGGGCGGCCTCTGGTTTTGTGGATTGCACCTGTCGTGGGAGTCACTGGTGAGGGAGAGCGGGAGGGTGCTTACTGCTGTGCTCCTGGATTTCTAAACCCGAGTCTCGCACACAACTCCTGTCCTCCGTTCCTGATCTTCCTCCCACCCCTCCTCCCTCTCCCGCATCCCACAGCCTCGGAGACCCGTGGAGGATAGAAGTGGAAGGGCCGCTCCGTCTCGGTCAGACCGGCTGGGTGGCCGCGGGGGTGGGGCGTGGGGTCTGCCTTGTCATTCACCCCTTGGGAGAGAACAAGTGACCCATCCAGAGCCCCCATGCCAGCCTTGGAGAGCGAGCAGCGGCCCTGATGCGTCCTCTCATCCGGGAAGAATCAGAGCCCTGAAGCTGAAATCCCCGTTTCTCCATGGGCATCCACAGCCAGGACTGTTCAGAGGGGTCATCCAGCCATCAGCTGTTCAACTCACTTTTGCACTCTCTTTTTTTTTTTTTAAGAGACAGGGTCTTGCTCTGTCACTCAGGCTGCTGGAGTGCAGTGGTGTGATCACAGCTCACTGCAATCTCGACTTCGTGGCTCAAGCAATCCTCCCACCTCAGCCTCCCGAGTAGTCGGGACCATAGGCGTGTGCCATCACACCTGGCTATTTAAAAATTATGGTTTTTTCAGGAGATCGAGACCATCCTGGCTAACACGGTGAAACCCCGTCTCTACTAAAAAAATACAAAAAACTAGCCGGGCGAGGTGGCGGGCGCCTGTAGTCCCAGCTACTCAGGAGGCTGAGGCTGGAGAATGGCGTAAACCCGGGAGGCGGAGCTTGCAGTGAGCTGAGATTCGACCACTGCACTCCAGCCTGGGCGACAGAGCGAGACTCCGTCTCAAAAAAAAAAAAAAAAAAAAAAAATTATTTTTTTTTTTTTTTTTTTAGAGATGGGGTCTCGCTATGTTGTCCAGGCTGGCCTAAAGCTACTGGGCTCAAGCATTTGGCCTCCGAAGGTGTTGCGATTACAGGCAAGAGCCACTGTGCCCAGTCCCAACTTTAAGGAGAAACTGTTCCCTCCTGGACCCCAGAGCAGGTCCTTCTCAGCTTGTGCCAGCACAGCAAGAGATGCCAGGGCTGCCAATCCCCCACTGAGCAGGGCCAGACCCATGGGTGACCAGTGAGTATTAGCTGGGACTTAAAAAGTTAAAAATGGCTGGGCATGGTGGCTCATGCCTGTAATCCCAGCACTTTGGGAGACTGAGGCAGGAGGATCACTTGAGTCCAGGAGCTCGAGACCAGCCTGGGCAACATGGTGAGATCCCGTCTCTACAAAAAAGTTTAAAATTCTCTGGGTGTGGTGGTGCCCACCTGTAGTCCCAGCTGCTCGGGAAGCTGAGGCAGGAGGACCGCTTGAGCTCAGGAGGTCTGCAGTGAGCCAGGATGGCACCACTGCACTCCAGCGTGGGTGACAGAGTGGGACCTTGTCTCTAAAATGAAAATTAAAAGGGAAAACATGATCCTCCAGGAGCTGAGGTCGCTGCCTGGGGCTCAGCTGCTCCCGAAAACACAGTTCTGGGCGGCTGACCCTGGCCTGCCTGCCCTGCCACCGGGAGCCCCGGGCTCTGGATCGTCACCCACTGCAAGGTGCCTCCCTGGGCGGAGCTGCCCTGCCCTGCGCTTTATGGAGCCCAGGCCATCGGTCTGGATCCTAGAAGGGGGCGCCCAGCGTCCCGGCTTCGTCACTTATCCCCAGCTGCAGCCGCAGGAGTTGCCTCCATCTGAGGCTGCTGGCGGTTCCTTTTCCTTGAGAGGAAATGATTCCCCCGCTGAGCCTTGTTTAGTTGTGCGTCACGTTGAGGTGTCTGGCCTTGGGTTGAGAACACTACCTCTTCCATCAGAAAACCGGTCACCTAAGAGCTGTTCCAAGTTATAGGTGGTGCTGGAGAACTTTGCTGCCCAGCGCTGCTCCAGGGACGTGGGGCGTGAGCGCTGCAGCCTTACCTAGGTCGGCGGTTGGGGCCTCACAGCAGAAACTCAGAGCAGACCTGGCCACCCAGGCCCCCCGCTGTGGCGCGGAACACTGCACTTCTCTGGTGACTCCACCAAAACTCAGAGGAGCTCAGGGGCGCCAGGTGCTTGTGCGTGGCGATGCTGGCATTTTGTTAGCTGGTGGATGTGAGACAGAATGTGAGGGCATCGTTCCTTGGGCGCTGCTGGAGAGGAGCTTGGCTGCAGTGCTGACCAGGTGCTGATGCGGTAGCCCCTGCCTTGGGTCTGGGGTAGTGGGAAGCCGGCGTCACGGGCATCTCTGGGACCCCAGGCACGCTCTCCCCCTGGATGACACCCTAAGGCTGCGTCTCTGGTCCTGGGGAGGTGGCCATTTCTAAGTGTGCTCTGGTGGCCCTTGAGGCCGTGTGAGGTTGGACAGTTCACAAAACCCTGTTTAGGGCAGTTGTCATTTTTAGATCAGTTGCTTTACAAACTTTTTTTGCACATACAGAACTCTTCTCTGAATCTCCTTCCAAAAGCAAGCTGTCATCTTTCTTGCCTCTGATGTTTAGAGCGACTTTAGGTTAATGCTGCTTGGATTTATTTTGTGCATGGTGGGGAGAGGTAGGTGCCAGCACCATCCCATCCCATGCTGGGTTCTTGAGAGAAGCTTTGCCACTTGGCTGGGCCGTCCCTGCTGCTTCGCCTCTCGGGGGGCACGTGGATGGTCCAGGCTTCCTTAGCGGAGCAGAGTCGTGACCTGCCCAGGGAAGTGGGGGGCACGCTTGTGAGCACAGCATGGGGGCCGCCCAGGACCCCAGCTTCCCCTAGGTCTCTGGTTCCTCGGAGGGCCCCAGTGCAGGTGTGCCTCGAAGGACTGGGGTTTTGAGATGGGCACAGGCGTGCTCCAGCAGCCCTGGCGACCTTGACCTTGTGGAATTAGTTGGCTGCCCCTCCTGGGGTCGCCCCCGGCTACTGTACGCCTCCATGACGTCACAGGGCATCGCGGGAGGCATCTTTTTAGTGGAAAGATCTTCACGCTGAACTCTGCCCCTGGCACCCCGCATGTCACCGTGGCTCTGGCCAGACGGCCCTGTCCCCCAGACCTTCCTTTTCCGCCCAGCTGTGCTGCCATGGCGGGCAGTGGGCCTGGGGGCCAGGGAGCGGGTCCTTGCTGGGTGGGAGGCCCGGGTGTGTGGGAATGCGCGCGCGGCTCTGTAAACATCTGGTGACTCACCGCATAGCTATGTCGTGGCCGGCCTGTGCACTGACGTGCTCACGGTGGAGCTGGAAGCGGTGCCTGCGGCCCCTCCCTCTGACATGGAAAAGTTTCTCATGGTGCTTCCAGCCGCCGGCATTTGCAGGTCCCCACGGTGGCGGAGGCAGCTGGGCCCCGGCCTCTCTACTGTCACCATTGCCCCAGGGCGGGGTACGGAGGAGCCTGGAGTCCCCCTGGCCTTCCCCGGGACCGGCTGGTGCCATCCTGTGCCATCTACATTAGCGCCCTAAGAGCAGCCGGCCTTGGCAGAGGCAGCGGACCTAGCAGCCTGGCGCAGGACCCTGTCTCACCTGTGCGGCCCTCTGGTTGTGGGGGTGGGTGGGCTGTGGCGGGGGGCCCCCATCGGAGGCAGGGCTGGAGGGTGGAGGGATTTGGGCCGAGGGCTCCCTGGCCCAGGGTGTGGGGAGGGTCCTGGGCCGGCAGGGAGGGCGGGATGGGGTCACCCGCCCCGTGGTGCCCATGTCCGGTGGAGGTGCTGACCAAGGACACCCCCACCGCTGTGTGCTGCTCTGACGTTCCTGCGGGAACCCGTGTCTGGTATTTGGGGTATGGGAGTGGGTGCTGTGGACCGGTCCCGCAAGCTTCCCGGCGCCTGCTGCCTGCCTGTCCCAGCCACCGGGTACAAATGGGTTTGTTGACTGCCTGCCGGCCTCGTGATGTCTGCGCAGACTGACCTGAAGTCAGGATCGCGTTTGGGCTTCTCGGTTTCCATGACGACCGTGGGGGCTGGCTCGGTCCCAAGGTCGTCATGGCAACTATCGGAGGGCTCATGCCGGGGATGCTTTGGCTGGGTTTTTCATGAATGATTAGAATGTGTGACACAATGCAGACGTGAGGACGGCGGGGGCGGCAGCGGGGACGACTCCCGCCAGACGGTCGAACGCTCGGCAGGGCGGCGGCTCCCCCACCTCCCTGGTCTCTGACTGCGACCCCTGGACCTGCCGCCCCTCAGGAACCCCACACCCCGTTGGGCTGCAGGGTCCTCGCTCGGGGGCAGCTTAGTTGGAGGTGGTGATGTCACAGCTGCAGCGGCCGGGGCCGTGGTAGGTGTCCCGTGGCCTGTGGGGAGGGCGGGGCGGGAGGGCGGCTGGGGCTCCACCCAGGCCCACCATGGGGGAAGCTGGTGATGGCAGGGGCTCCCCAGAGGCCCCCTCTCGGGGATCCAGGCTGGGTCCGGAGCACCAGAGCCTTTGCAAGGGTAGGGTCGCTGTCCAGTGGGGCCCCACGCTCCTCGGGGCCAGCACAGCTGCCTTGTGGGAGGGCGGTTTCGCCACCAATCGGTTTGGTCCTTGGGACGGAGCACCTTGTGCTGTGCAGGTGCAGACGTCTTCTCTGACCTCAGGGAGAATCAGAACAGGAAGCAGCCACTGCTGGTGCCTGCTGGTCACCCTACAGCGCCGGCAGCTGCAGCCCAGGTCTTCAGGGCAGCAGGGGGCTGCACCTGGCTGCCAGGCCCTGGGGTGGGGGTCCCAGCTGCTCTGTGGACTATGCTAGACTGTGAGGTGCAGCCAGACCTCCCCCTGGACCCTCGGGCAGAGACAGAGGCCGGGCCAGGATGCCCCACCCCCTGGGAAGCCCCCCAGGACGGGCTGGGCCGGGACAGTGCCCCATCTTGTTTTCAGGGTGCTGTGACCATCTACCCCAGGCTGAGGAACGTCCCTGCATGGGAGGTGGCCGTCCCTTCCGGCGCTGCTGGCCCTGACCTGCGCTGGGTTCTCTGCTTGCCCGTGTTTTCCAGCTACGAGTTCCAGGGAGCTCTGTCCTGGTGACTGTGCCCAGGTTATGACGACTAATCCCAAACCGAACAAGACATTAAAGGTAAGGCTGGCTCCAGGCAGGCCCCGTCTCAAGCACAGGTGTGGGAAAGGCCCCCCCATTCCCAGGGCCGTCCTGAGCCTGTGATGGAGGCCTCCCTGTTGGCAGGAGAAGGGGCTGCTGTGGCTGGGGGATGTTCACAGGAGAGGTGGGGCCAGGATCGGGGACTGTGGTTCCAGATGACTCCCAGGCTCAGGGTGTGGCAGGGTCTGTCCGCCTGGGCTGTGTGTCCGCCAGGCGCTACTGCATGAGCTCACCCCCCGACTCCAGGCGTGGGCAGACTGGCCTCTGGTGAATGGGATGCTCCAGCTCCTAGGGCCTGGGCCCACCTGTGCCTGGCGCTTGCCGCCTCTGCCATGGGGCATGCCTGTGGGCTGGCTCAGTCCCAGCAGCAGGACCCATGTGCTCCAGGTCCTCGTGGGCTCTGAGGCTGTCGGTAACCAGGAGTGACCGATGTCACCGCTGGCTTCTCCTGTTCAGAAAGGGTCCTGTGGGGCCACAACCGTCACATGGGTTGCCTGTGTGCATGGTGTCCTGTGGTCCCTGGTGCGGACGGCAAAGGCCAGCCCCAAAAGAGCATGGGCATGCAGGGGCACCGCTGGGTCCCTGTCCACCCCCATGCCGGTCCCAGGCAGACACCCCACGTTCTCCCGTTGCTGACCCCGTGCTGTGGCCACCCCCAGGTCAAGAAGGAGGCGGGCGAGAACGCTCCAGTGCTCAGCGACGATGAGCTGGTGTCCATGTCGGTGCGGGAGCTGAACCAGCACCTGCGGGGTCTCACCAAGGAGGAGGTCACCCGCCTGAAGCAGCGTCGGCGCACGCTCAAGAACCGCGGCTACGCGGCCAGCTGCCGCATCAAGCGGGTGACGCAGAAGGAGGAGCTGGAGCGGCAGCGCGTGGAGCTGCAGCAGGAGGTGGAGAAGCTGGCGCGTGAGAACAGCAGCATGCGGCTGGAGCTGGACGCCCTGCGCTCCAAGTACGAGGCGCTGCAGACCTTCGCGCGCACCGTGGCCCGGGGACCCGTGGCGCCCTCCAAGGTGGCCACCACCAGCGTCATCACCATCGTCAAGTCCGCTGAGCTCTCCTCCACCTCCGTGCCCTTCTCGGCCGCATCCTAGTGCCGGCTGGGGGTGGGGAGCGGCAGGCGGGCGGGGGTGCGCCCCTCGTACCTGTCACTGGGACACAGACTCTCGACATCCGAGTCCAGGCGCAGGCCCCTCAGGCGCGGGCAACTCACACCAGGATGAGACTGTGGTGCAGGGTGAAGAGTGGGCTCCCGTGGGCCCAGAGCTGCGTGCCGGTCCACACACACGCCCGCCCCCTGCTCCCCACAGGATGCGTCTGTGTGTGGGAATTGGCATCTCGCACCCGTGGGAGTCGGGACGTATAAGGGAAAGGCCCTCGGGAAGTTCCGCCGCCCCCGCGGGGGCTGCCAGAAGACACGGCCCCAGGAGTCAGGCCCCTGTGGTCAGGTCAGCGTGGGGCTTGTTTTCCACTGCAGCTGGGAGCAGCCTTCGACACCTGCCCTGCTGTGGCCTCCCAGCTGGTGCGGGAGCCCCTGGCTGCCCTGACCGACTCCGCAGACCCTGGGAGGAGCATGGATGGTGCGTTGGCAGCTCCGTCCTTCCAGCTGTCCTGTTGCAGTTGCCCGTGACCCGTGTCTGCCTTAGCAGGGGCCTGCGCAAGTGGGCGTGGTGTGGGAGGCCGCCTGCGTGGGGTGGTGTCTGTGTGTCTGCACGTGTGTGTGTGCAGGCCCGTCTGCCATCACAGCACCAGGGCTGAGGGGGCAGGTGTTCACCGGAGGAGGGCCTGTGGGCACGTGTGGCAGAGAGAGTGGCTCATACGTCGTGAGGTCTCCCGTGTGCTCTGGTGACCCGAGGAGGTCGTGCAGCACAGCACAGAAGCCCCACCCACGGGAGCTGGCCCCCCAGACACCCACCCCGCAGGCCATCCTGGACCTCAGCGGACACGGACAGGAGCGTCCCATCATTTGATGGTGAGCAGGACTCAGGCTCTGTGTCCTGGAGCTGCTTCTCACCAGCTGTGGTCAGTGCAGGGGGAACGAGGAGGTCTTTTGGGGGCCTAGAGGGGAAGGGCCGCTGCAGTCTAGGGAGAGGGGGTGCAGCCTGGGGGACGTTGGTAGATGTGGACGTGGAGGTGGGAAGGAGAGGACGTTGCATTGGGTGGTGGGAGGAGGCGGGAGCTGTGTGCGAGAGCTGGTGGAAAGGCTTGAGGGGCAGGACCAGGATGCGGCTGGCTTATACAAGAGCTCAGGAGTGAGGCTGGCACTCTGGAGGGCGTGGTGGGCGGGGAGGCGGCAGGCACCAGGCCAGGAGAGCCTTGTGGATGTGGCTCCCACGTGCACACCCCCAGGAGCACAGCCACGGGCTGCAGGTGTGGCCTTGGCACTCAGTCCTCGCCCGGAGCCTTCGCCTGTTCCTCCTTCCCTGAGCACCGAGGCACTGGTGGGCTTGGCACTCCACCTTGGGCTTCCTTTTCCTGGAGTGCCACCTTGAGGGTCCCTGCTGTGACTGGGGTATCTGCAGCGGGGGTCGTAGAGCCCCTGCCTGGGGGAGCTGGCGGAATGTGAGCCACTGGCCGGGGGCCGCCACCTAGGACATGCAAGGTGGTGCCTCGGCTCCCTCTCGGCTGCCCCTGCCCATCCAGTAACACCCCCACCGGCTACAGAGCCCAGGCTGGTGCCAGCCACGCTGGGGGGGCGGAGGACAGACAGCCCCGGGGCGGCGACTTGGTTCTGTGTCTACTGTTAGAAGTGAGTGGGAAGCTGCAGGCCCGCCAGGACCACTGGGTCCCTGTGGAGCAAAGGCCTGCGAGTTCCCAAATAGCCGTTGCCCCCGTGGCCATGGTAGGTAATCCATATTGGATGTCATAAGGACCAGGGGGATATTTAAAGAGAGAAACAGAAACTATATAGAGATATAAAATTATATTCACAGTTTATCTACAGATTTTTCGTAACAATCTTTCTTTTCCAGTTTGATACTGTAAATCTATCAGAGCAGAGCTTGGGGGCACGGGCACAGGTGGGAGTTGGGAGCAAACCGGAGGCCCGGGCTGCCCACCGTCCCCCTCACCACGGACTGCACCAGGCTGTTGGGCCCCCACAGGACAGGCTGCAGCGGGTGGCCGGTTCTGTCCCATCTTGGGGTTCTTGGTGTCCACGTCTTGTGGGCCGTGGGCGACCACCTGCCCTCGGCCTGTGGTGCTTTGCCGGAGAGGGGACTCCTCGGCCCCCAGGGTGGACGGAGCCGCTGTCACCGCCCAGAGCCGGGCCGGGGAAGCACGGCGCGTTCTGCTTTTCTTTTCAGATCGTTGAAATTTCATTGTCATGATTTAATATATGGATTTTTTTATTTAAGAAAAAGACGAAGGCCTCTTTGCCGCGTGGGTTTGTTTTCTGTCTCTGTGCCTCCGGCTTCCCAAAGAGATCCAGGTCTTTGCGTTTCCAGGGTGTGGGGACCCCTGCCCCCCACGCCCCCACACCGCCTCACCCTGGCCTCTGTACTACTTGGCAGTTCCATTTCAATATTTATTTTTGTGCTGCTTTTTATCATGATATAAATTATTGAGAACAGATCACATGTGGGCCCGTGTCTGGCCGCCGCCGCCCTGCCCCGTCCCTGCGACCACCACCTAATTTATTGCCGTGCGTCCTGCTGCTGTGACCGCTTTTGTACCTTTGCAATAAAGAATTTTCTGGTTTCAGACCCTTTCGTTGTGCAGTTGGTGCTTTTGGCTGGGGCTTTTTTGGGCCAAGAACCACACACCCCCCATCCCAGGGGACCCCGTCTGTCCCTCACCAGGGTCAGGATCCGGGTACCATGTGTAAGTGGCTTTCACAGACTGCTGGCCTGTGACCGTGATGCTGGGACAGCCACGGGGGAGGTGCTGGTTAGGTGGCCACGTCCCGGGCTCAGTCTCCGAGGGTCAGGCCGCAGTCCTGAGTGTCGCCATCTGCCCCACCCACAGCCCCCTGTCCACGCAGCCTCTCCCAGTGGAAGGAGCAGAGAGCACCATGGCTGTCAGTGTCCCCCTTCCCCAGGAGATCCCTCACCCAGCTCTGCTGGACTCTCAGAGGAGCCTGCAGGAAGCCGTGAGCAAGACAGGGTCTGTCTGGGAGCAGAGAGCAAAGCGGCCCTGCACAGTGGCTAGAAGCCTGTGGACTCCTCTGAAAAGCCAAGGGCCTGCCCACATGCCGTCGCCACTCCGCCTGGCCTTCCGGGAGAGCAGCCCTGGCACACCCGGCCCCATTTTTGGGGCTGAGCTGACCGAAGGGTGAATGCCGTTCCGTGCTGGACCACGCAGGGTGAAATCCAAGCTGGATTTTTTTGAGACATCTTGCTCTGTCACCCAGGCTGGAGTGCTCGTGATCACGGCTCACTGCAGCCTCAACCTCCCGGGCTCAAGCAATCCTCCCATCTCAGCCTCCTGAGTAGCTGGGACCGCCGGCATACACCACCACGCCCAGCTAATTTTTGTATGTTTTTGGAGAGATGGTGTTTTACCATGTTGCCCAGGCTGGTCTCGGACTCCTGGGCTCAAGCAATCCACTCGCCTTGGCCTCTCCAAGTGCTGGAATTACAGGCATGAGCCATGGCACCTGATCATAATCCCACCTCTCAGCATCTGTGTGGCCTGGGGCCAGTTCCCTCCTTCCCAGCCTTGCTTCCTGTGAGGTGGGCGTGGAGGTGACTGCAGCAGCTGGCGCGTGCCGCGGTGAGGGTTGAATCTGTGCTGGGGCCACAGCAGCCTGAGCTTGTCACGCAATGGCAGGGATGGCAATTTCCCCAGCTAAGTCAGACCTCCCCTGTGGCCCACCCTGCGGCTCTGGGCCCAGCCTGCTCCTCCTGGGGGAGCTGGTGGGTGTGAGTTGGGGGCACAGAGCCCCAGCCCCGTGTGGGGCTCCTGGAGGCCACGGACAGACAGGGAAGCTGTGAGAGGAGACGCCACCCCGCCCAGCCGTGCAGCCTGCACCCGGGCCAGGCCAGGGCCCCCAGGGCTTCTACCCTTTCTTGTGGATGCTGGGGATTTTCAGCTGGACCATCTCCCAGACGAGGACACTGAGGCAGGAGAGGTTAGAGAGGTTGGTGGGGGCACTGGGCCAAGACACGTGGCTCCTGCCTGCCTCGAGGCCCACTCCTCTGTCGGGGCCTGTCACCGGGAAACCCCTTTTTCTGCAGCGATGATGACACTGGAACCACGCTGGTCTCTGTCCTTCCCCCTCTCATGAGCCCACGCTCCCTCTCGAGGCGGGTTGAGCCCTGGCCTGGACCGCCCCACACTGCCTCTGTCCACGCCAAGCGGGCTCAGCCCTCGGGGCTTTCCTTTGAGTCGTGTTGGAAAGAAGCAGAGCAGCCTCACCCACGGGCAGAGGCGTCTGTGAGGCTCAGGAGGCAGCGGGGAGAGAGGGCCTCCGTGGAACCGGCTCCTGGTGTCCGAGTCCCTGCTCTGTGACCCCAGCCTCACCCGCGGGCAGAGGCGTCTGTGAGGCTCAGGAGGCAGGGCGAAGAGAGGGCCTCTGTGGAACCGGCTCCTGGTGTCCGAGTCCCTGCTCTGTGACCCCAGCCTCACCCGCGGGCAGAGGCGTCTGTGAGGCTCAGGAGGCAGCGGGGGGAGAGAGGGCCTCTGTGGAGCCGACTCCTGGTGTCCCAGTCCCTGCTCCGTGACGCCAGCCTCACCCGCGGGCAGAGGCATCTGTGAGGCTCAGGAGGCAGGGCGGAGAGAGGGCCTCTGTGGAGCCAGTTCCTGGTGTCCGAGTCCCTGCTCTGTGACCCCAGGCAACTTGCTCCATCTCTCTGGGCTCAGTCGCCGTCCCAGCTGGCGTGAGCGCTGAGCGTGTCAGTTTCCTGGCACAGTCCTTGGCTGGTCCAAGTGGGCATTTGGCGGAAACTGACTTCTCCCCTGTCCTAAACCGCAGGCCTGAGGGGCTGCTGACATAGGAGCTCAGCCCCCAGCACCTCAGCCTCTGCCACCGGGAGCCCACGTGGTGTCTGGGTCTCCAGAAGGGGAGCCCTCGGCCACGCACCCTCCAAACACAGATTTCAGCAACTCGATCTCTAATGGGGTGGCCTTCCCCAGGGCAAGGGCAGAGCAAGCCTAGCGTCTGGCCAGTGCCCCCAGCCTCCAGAAACTGGCCCTTGGCAGCAGGTCCCCGGGGAGCACCACGCCCCCACCTGCTGACAGAGTGAGACACGGGGGCTGCCTGGTGGGTCTCTCCCTGTGGGGGTCCAATAAGGCAGGTGGGCATCTTTGCAGCCACGCAGGGAGGAGCTCGGCCTATCAGGCAGCCCGGCCAGGCCCTGCAGACCCACTGGCCTTAGATCCCCATGTCCCCAGCCCAGGAAGCAAGAGGCTGGGAGCTGGCCCTCTGTTGCCTGGACCCCACTGGTCCGTGCCCGCCTTGCTGAGTCCCTCGGAGACTCCAGGTCCTGCTGTTCCCGGTGGCCGTAGCCATGGGTGGGGGCAGCACAGGTGGGAGCCGCGGTCCCCGGGTGGTACCCACTGGGCCTTCCTGTCTGCTCTCCATGCCCAGTGCCTGAGCCCCCCAGGCCTTGCCCACTTCTGCTGCCCCTGCCCGAGCCCCCACCCAACCTGTGCTGTGGGCCCCAGATACACAGAACTGACTGCCACCTGCAGGCCAGGTCACTGCACTGTCCCCTGAGGGGCCCTGGGCCTGGAGGGTGCCCTGCAGTGACACCCCTCGCCCTGGGCCAGCTGTGTGTCCTTCCAGAAGCCCCCTTAGTTCCTGGGCGGCTGTTGTTCTCGCCGCCAGGATTTCCAAGGCCTCTTAGGCGCCTCCAGCTTCCTGAGGACAGGGCACGTGTCTGAAGCTCGGCTCCTCAAACCCAGGGCCCCACCTGGCACGTGGAGGAAGAAGAGAAGGGGAGGAGGCAGGTGCCCAGGCGGGAGCCCCCTCTGTGCCCCCCGGGAGTGCCCCCCCAGGTACTCAGGGCCCTGCTCTCACGGCCTTGTCCCCTCGCCATGAGTGGGGCTGGCACAAGGCCCATTCTGGAGGAAGCAGAGGCTCCCAGCAGAAAGGCGGCAGCTGTGATCTCACAGCCCAGCCTCTGCCCTGCACTGCCCTGGGCCACGAGTCTGCCCACCCCAGTCAGGTGGGACCCCTTTCCCGCATGCAGACTCTGTGACCCCCACCACATCCTGCTCCTCAGGCTCAGGCTCTGCGGGAACAGAAGCCAAGACGCAGTAGAAAATCCAAGGTGTTTAGGCCAGGCGAGGTGGCTCACGCCTGTCATCCCAGCACTTGGGGAGGCCGAGGCGGGCGGATCACGAGGTCAGGAAATCAAGACCATCCTGGCTAACATGGTGAAACCCCATCTCTACTAAAAATGCAAAAAATTAGCCGGGTGTGGCGGCGGGCGCCTGTAATCCCAGCTACTTGGGAGGCTGAGGCAGGAGAATGGCATGAACCCGGGAGGCGGAGCTTGCAATGAGCCGAGATCGCGCCACTGCACTCCAGCCTGGGCCACAGAGCAAGACTCCGTCTCAAAAAAAAAAAAAAAAGAAAAGAAAATCCAAGGTGTTTAAATATAAATTAGAGCACTTCCCACAGCCCCACGGTGCTGGCCAGCCTCATGGGCACCCGGTGGTTCCACGACCCATTCCAGGCACACGCTCCCCTGGGTGGGCGCCTGGCCAGGGCTCCCCTGTGGCTGGTGTGTGAAGACATGTGGGCCCTTCTCCACTTGCCCACGATGGCCACAGCAGGCTCCGAGGAGGCCCAGCCCTGGCCAGCTTGTGTGGACCTCACCGGTCTGCGGCACCCGGAGCTGCTGACTGTGTCAGGGCCCGGCTGCCCAGCACCCCGGCGCCCCTCCCTCCAGCTGCCCAGCCTGGGATCCGTGCGCTGTCTGTCTCCTGAGTCAGGGAGTCTGGCCCACTCATAGCTCCCGTGGGGCCCATACAGCCAAGGCCCGGCAGCCACGCTGACTCCCTGCCCCACGGTGGCCCCTGGGGCTGATGGCCAGGTGATCCCGGGGTCCCCAGGCTCTTCCGATTGGCTCAGGTGCCCTCTCCTTGGGCGGCGGGCCCACCTGGGTGCCTGGCAGGGCCATCAGGTGCCCTGACCCTCGGGCTGGAGGGAGGATGGGAAATGGGCTCCGAGGGCCTCGCAGGAGGGCTCTCAGGAGAGGCCCCCACCTTTGGCAGGGTTGATGGGTGGGGGGCCCTGTTCTTCCCCAGAGGCATGGGCAACCTGGGTCCCTAAAGCACCAGCGGCCAAGGTCCCCCTACAGGTCCTCCGAGGGGATGAGCATCCGCTTCTCCAGGCTCCGGCTCTTCCTACCCCTGCCAGAGCTGCTGCCGGGGTGGGTGCCCGGCCTGGGCGCCTCCTGCGTGGCCTGCTGCGTGTAGTGCTGGTAGGCGGGGGAGAAGTTGTGGATGGCGTCCTGCACAATGTCCTGGGGGCTCACTGTCTCCCTGAGGCCACTGGAGATGCTCTGCATGGGTGCCGGGGGTGCTGGAGGAGGGCAGCGTATGAGCCCCACCATCCCCCACTGTGCTCCAGCCCCCGCCGGACAAGCCCCCTCAGCCCCGCCTCCCAGGATGCCCAGGGCTGTGGCTCCTGCATGTCCAGGTCTGGCCTGGGCCAGCGGAGGGTGACCCCAGACCCCTGGACCCCAGCCCAGCTTGCTCCACCCAGCACCAGGCCTATTCCTGGCCAGACCCCTGCCAAGGACCACGTCCCCTA